TGTCCCTTTGGTCTCCTGTCACCTGATCCCATTTCCATAACTTTACATTTACTGGTGTTAAACTCCAGTAGCCATTTCCCTGACCATCTCTGCAGCCTGTTTAAGTCCTCTTGGAGGATCCTACAATCCTCGTCTGTCACAACTCTTCTCATTAATTTTGCGTCATCTGCAAACATTGACATGTATGATTCCACTCCTGTAAACATATCATTTACGTAAATTAGAAAGAGGATTGGTCCCAGCACCGATCCTTGAGGTACTCCACTTGTTACTGTTCGCCAGTCCGACTTTTCGCCCCTTACCATTACCCTCTGGCTCCTTCCTGTTAGGTAGTTCTTCACCCATACTAGGGCCTTTCCGCTTACTCCTGCCTGCCTCTCAAGTTTGTATACCAGTCTCATGTGCGGTACCGTATCAAAGGCCTTTTGGCAGTCAAGAAATATGCAGTCTGCCCAGCCTTCTCTGTCCTGCCTTATCCTTGTTACTTTATCATAGAATTCGTGTGTGTGTGTGTGTGTGTGTGTGTGTGTGTGTGTGTGTGTGTGTGTGTGTGTGTGTGTGTGTGTGGATGTGTAAGAGAGAAATATATGTAATAGACATAATAGAGGAAAAATATATAGGTTAGAAAAGCGGGGTTCAAGACCTAATAGCTCGATTCTGCAGGCACAAATAGTAAATACAAATCAAAACTACCCACCAGTGGGTGAAGCAGAAGGCGGGATCACTCACCAGGTACACGGTGGAGGAGAGCATGTGGGGATGGCGGGTGAGGACGCTGGTGAAGGTAGATTCCGCCTCCTCCAGGCGACCAGTGTTGAGATACAGTTTTCCTAGACTCTCCTCGATCTCCGCCTCCCAGGCCACCGCTAGCGCCCTGTACAAGGCCCCACCACCATCATCATCATCCAGGGGTGAGAGAAAGGTAGAGACGTAGAGACTGGTAGAGTGGGAGGTGGTAGTAGTAGTGGTGGTATTGTGGAGATCAGCAGTCGCTGCTCTGCTAGTTATTCTTTGGCGATTATAGTTGTGAGATGAAGGTAATCAGTGCGGGTTTTGAACGTGTTGCCTGATTGACTGCGGGTTGGAGGTAAGTCTGTTTCTCTGTGAACACATTGAGAGAGATTGAGGGAGAAGCGGCGGAGACAGACTGTCTTTCCAGGACGGGCGAAAGACGCGAGAGGCAGGGTCATCTCCCTAACATTTAAATGGAACAGTGAATAGGAGAGAACTTCACCCTGTCCCAATAGTTTGTATCTCCCTTCCTCCCTTCCCTACAGTCTGTATCTCCCTTCCTCCCTTCCCTACAGTCTGTATCTCCCTCCTCCCTTCCCTATAGTCTGTATCTCCCTTCCTCCCTTCCCTACAGTCTGTATCTCCCTACCTCTCTTCCCTATAGTCTGTATCTCCCTTCCTCCCTTCCCTACAGTCTGTATCTCCCTACCTCTCTTCCCTATAGTCTGTATCTCCCTACCACCCTTCCCTACAGTCTGTATCTCCCTTCCCTACAGTCTGTAACTCCCTACCACCCTTCCCTACAGTCTGTATCTCCCTTCCCTACAGTCTGTAACTCCCTACCACCCTTCCCTACAGTCTGTATCTCCCTTCCCTACAGTCTGTAACTCCCTACCACCCTTCCCTACAGTCTGTATCTCCCTTCCCTACAGTCTGTATCTCCCTTCCCTACAGTCTGTATCTACCACCCTTCCCTACAGTCTGTATCTCCCTACCACCCTTCCCTACAGTCTGTATCTCCCTACCACCCTTCCCTACAGTCTGTATCTCCCTACCACCCTTCCCTACAGTCTGTATCTCCCTCCCTTCCCTACAGTCTGTATCTCCCTACCTCCCTTCCCTACAGTCTGTATCTCCCTTCCTCCCTTCCCTACAGTCTGTATCTCCCTACCTCCTTTCCCTACAGTCTGTATCTCCCTTCCTCCCTTCCCTACAGTCTGTATCTCCCTTCCCTACAGTCTGTATCTCCCTACCTCCCTTCCCTACAGTCTGTATCTCCCTTCCTCCCTTCCCTACAGTCTGTATCTCCCTTCCTCCCTTCCCTACAGTCTGTATCTCCCTACCTCCCTTCCCTACAGTCTGTATCTCCCTTCCTCCCTTCCCTACAGTCTGTATCTTCCTAATTTTCTTCCCTACAGTCTGTATCTCCCTTCCTCCCTTCCCTACAGTCTGTATCTCCCTTCCTCCCTTCCCTACAGTCTGTATCTCCCTACCTCCCTTCCCTACAGTCTGTATCTCCCTTCCCTACAGTCTGTATCTCCCTTCCTCCCTTCCCTACAGTCTGTATCTCCCTACCACCCTTCCCTACAATCTGTATCTCCCTTCCTCCCTTCCCTACAGTCTGTATCTCCCTTCCCTACAGTCTGTATCTCCCTACCTCCCTTCCCTACAGTCTGTATCTCCCTTCCCTACAGTCTGTATCTCCCTTCCCTACAGTCTGTATCTCCCTACCTCCCTTCCCTACAGTCTGTATCTCCCTTCCTCCCTTCCCTACAGTCTGTGTCTCCCTACCTCCTTTCCCTACAGTCTGTATCTCCCTACCTCCTTTCCCTAGAGTCTGTATCTCCCTCCCTCCCTTCCCTACAGTCTGTATCTCCCTACCTCCTTTCCCAACAGTCTGTATCTCCCTACCTCCTTTCCCTACAGTCTGTATCTCCCTACCCCCCTTCCCTACCGTCTGTATTTCCCTACCTCCCTTCCCTACAGTCTGTATCTCCCTTCCACCCTTCCCCTACAGTCTGTATCCCTCTACTTCTCTTCCCTACAGTCTGTATCTCCCTACCTCCCTTCCCTACAGTCTGTATCTCCCTTCCTCCCTTCCCTACAGTCTGTATGTCCCTCCCTTACCTATAGCCTGCATTTCCTTCTCTTCCTGCTGATGGGATGTATCATTGTTTAAACATAATGTTCACTGTTCAAGAATGGCTTCCATGTAAGTTTGTGTTCAGTGTTACGTAAGGAACTGAGGTCCTTAATGTGGAGACATGTTTTCAGGCTAAGCCAGTTTCCCTGGCGTGGCCCCCATCATAAATTGGCTAGAGAAATGATTTAGAAACTGTTTGTAGATTGATAGATTGATAGATTGCTTGTAGAGAATTAGTCAAAATATTAACCCAACCGGCACGTATGAAGCGACAATGTTTTGAAGTGTCGTGGAGACGAATAGACAAATAAGTTACGACTTATCAAGTCGTAACTTGATAAGTCGTATTTACCTTCGTATCATATGTGTGGGTTGTGATTTTTTTGTCTCTCTCGTTTTAATATATTGATTCATATATATATGTCGTATCTAGTAGCCAGAACGCACTTCTCAGCCTACTATGCAAGGCCCGATTTGCCTAATAAGCCAAGTTTTCCTGAATTAATATATTTTCTCTAATTTTTTTCTTCTGAAATGATAAAGCTACCCATTTCATTATGTATGAGGTCAATTTTTTTTATTGGAGTTAAAATTAACGTAGATATATGACCGAACCTAACCAACCCTACCTAACCTAACCTAACCTATCTTTATAAGTTAGGTTAGGTTAGGTAGCCGAAAAAGTCAGGTTAGGTTAGGTTAGGTAGGTTAGGTAGTCGAAAAACAATTAATTCATGAAAACTTGGCTTATTAGGCAAATCAGGCCTTGCATAGTAGGCTGAGAAGTGCGTTCTGGCTACTAGGTACGACATATATATATATCTTATATATATATACGTGAGGAACACAAATGCGAACAAGCCTGAATGGTCCCCAGGACTATATGCGAATGAAAACTCACACCCCAGAAGTGACTCGAACCCATACTCCCAGAAGCAACGCAACTGGTAACTACAGGGCGCCTTAATCCGCTTGACCATCACGGCCGTCAAAAGGAAGTGATAGCCGAGGCTATTTGAGCCACTTCCCCGACGGCAACTCGGATGGTAATCTTGGGCATAGCATTTCACCAAATCACCTCATTCTTTGGGGCACACGTGAGGAACACAAATGCGAACAAGCCTGAATGGTCCCCAGGACTATATGCGAATGAAAACTCACACCCCAGAAGTGACTCGAACCCATACTCCCAGAAGCAACGCAACTGGTAACTACAGGGCGCCTTAATCCGCTTGACCATCACGGCCGTCAAAAGGAAGTGATAGCCGAGGCTATTTGAGCCACTTCCCCAACGGCAACTCGGATGGTAATCTTGGGCATAGCATTTCACCAAATCACCTCATTCTTTGGGGCACACGTGAGGAACACAAATGCGAACAAGCCTGAATGGTCCCCAGGACTATATGCGAATGAAAACTCACACCCCAGAGGTGACTCGAACCCATACTCCCAGAAGCAACGCAACTGGTAACTAAAGGGCGCCTTAATCCGCTTGACCATCACGGCCGTCAAAAGGAAGTGATAGCCGAGGCTATTTGAGCCACTTCCCCGACGGCAACTCGGATGGTAATCTTGGGCATAGCATTTCACCAAATCACCTCATTCTTTGGGGCACACGTGAGGAACACAAATGCGAACAAGCCTGAATGGTCCCCAGGACTATATGCGAATGAAAACTCACACCCCAGAAGTGACTCGAACCCATACTCCCAGAAGCAACGCAACTGGTAACTACAGGGCGCCTTAATCCGCTTGACCATCACGGCCGTCAAAAGGAAGTGATAGCCGAGGCTATTTGAGCCACTTCCCCGACGGCAACTCGGATGGTAATCTTGGGCATAGCATTTCACCAAATCACCTCATTCTTTGGGGCACACGTGAGGAACACAAATGCGAACAAGCCTGAATGGTCCCCAGGACTATATGCGAATGAAAACTCACACCCCAGAAGTGACTCGAACCCATACTCCCAGAAGCAACGCAACTGGTAACTACAGGGCGCCTTAATCCGCTTGACCATCACGGCCGTCAAAAGGAAGTGATAGCCGAGGCTATTTGAGCCACTTCCCCGACGGCAACTCGGATGGTAATCTTGGGCATAGCATTTCACCAAATCACCTCATTCTTTGGGGCACACGTGAGGAACACAAATGCGAACAAGCCTGAATGGTCCCCAGGACTATATGCGAATGAAAACTCACACCCCAGAAGTGACTCGAACCCATACTCCCAGAAGCAACGCAACTGGTAACTACAGGGCGCCTTAATCCGCTTGACCATCACGGCCGTCAAAAGGAAGTGATAGCCGAGGCTATTTGAGAGGCTACTCACGTGTGCCCCAAAGAATGAGGTGATTTGGTGAAATGCTATGCCCAAGATTACCATCCGAGTTGCCGTCGGGGAAGTGGCTCAAATAGCCTCGGCTATCACTTCCTTTTGACGGCCGTGATGGTCAAGCGGATTAAGGCGCCCTGTAGTTACCAGTTGCGTTGCTTCTGGGAGTATGGGTTCGAGTCACTTCTGGGGTGTGAGTTTTCATTCGCATATAGTCCTGGGGACCATTCAGGCTTGTTCGCATTTGTGTTCCTCACGTGTGCCCCAAAGAATGAGGTGATTTGGTGAAATGCTATGCCCAAGATTACCATCCGAGTTGCCGTCGGGGAAGTGGCTCAAATAGCCTCGGCTATCACTTCCTTTTGACGGCCGTGATGGTCAAGCGGATTAAGGCGCCCTGTAGTTACCAGTTGCGTTGCTTCTGGGAGTATGGGTTCGAGTCACTTCTGGGGTGTGAGTTTTCATTCGCATATAGTCCTGGGGACCATTCAGGCTTGTTCGCATTTGTGTTCCTCACGTGTGCCCCAAAGAATGAGGTGATTTGGTGAAATGCTATGCCCAAGATTACCATCCGAGTTGCCGTCGGGGAAGTGGCTCAAATAGCCTCGGCTATCACTTCCTTTTGACGGCCGTGATGGTCAAGCGGATTAAGGCGCCCTGTAGTTACCAGTTGCGTTGCTTCTGGGAGTATGGGTTCGAGTCACTTCTGGGGTGTGAGTTTTCATTCGCATATAGTCCTGGGGACCATTCAGGCTTGTTCGCATTTGTGTTCCTCACGTGTGCCCCAAAGAATGAGGTGATTTGGTGAAATGCTATGCCCAAGATTACCATCCGAGTTGCCGTCGGGGAAGTGGCTCAAATAATATATATATATATATATATATATATATATATATATATATATATATATATATATATATATATATATATATATATATATATATATATATATTTTAGACCTACTATAGCTCACTAAAAGTAATACTGAAATAAAGAAAGGGATGAGAAGGGCGTGCGGGCGTACCTCTTGTAAAGCATCTCGGCCTGATTGTTGTTGTGTAGAGTGAGCATGAGTGTGGCGGTGTTGACCAGCGCCACGGTGTGCTCCGGGTCCAGCCTCAGGGCCGCCTCGTAGTGCCGCAGTGTCGCTTCCCGACGACCTGAAACACGGACATGATGTGGCTCTCAGTGCCACCTTGTGCCACTCATCACACAAGTGTGGTATAATGTGTGTATTATGGGGCCTTCGACCTGTTACTCACTTGGGTCTGTTACTCACTTGGGTCTGTTACTCACTTGGGTCTGTTACTCACTTGGGTCTGTTACTCACCTGGGTCTGTTACTCGCCTGGGTCTGTAACTCGCCTGGGTCTGTTACTCACTTGGGTCTGTTACTCACTTGGGTCTGTTACTCACTTGGGTCTGTTGCTCACTTGGGTCTGTTACTCACCTGGGTCTGTTACTCGCCTGGGTCTGTTACTCGCCTGGGTCTGTTACTCACTTGGGTCTGTTACTCACCTGGAAAGTTATTTGTGAATAGGGGTATGGCTGGCGCAGGCGCACTTTGAACTATGCTCCTAAGCGATGTTCTCTTTTTGTTCTAGACACTTAAGAGAGAGAGATTGTACGCGCCTGAGAGGATCGCAGACGGCGAACGTCTTAGTAGGTCTAAGATGTTGATCATGAAGTCCTCGCCCGGCTGATGTGTCGATCCTGCCCCGTAGACATTCAATCCCGTAATCTGACAATTTGGCTGAGTCTCTCTCTCTCTCTCTCTCTCTCTCTCTCTCTCTCTCTCTCTCTCTCTCTCTCTCTCTCTCTCTCTCTCTCTCTCTCTCTCTCTCTCTCTCTCTCTCTCTCTCTCTCTCTCTCTCTCTCTCTCTCTCTCTCTCTCTCTCTCTCTCTCTCTCTCTCTCTCTCCCATGATAATCTTGCAGCAATTTTGGGAGAATGAGATTTACCCGAGACTCGTTTTTATTTAATTTCTGAAGCAAAATGAAGATTCCTATTTTGCGAGGCGTGTACGAGTCTTAAGTGGCTCGGATATTGCCCCAGCGTCTTTAAGAGTCCCTCCGTGAATGGCACGATGGTAGCATATATAATGGATACCTTGCTGTATAAATATTGAAGAAAAAACTAACATTGTAAGGTGGAAGTGGGTAAATATTTCGACCCCCTTTTACCCTTATCTTATTCTACTAATTTGTTAAAATTTATCATGCTGAAAGATGTGCATAACTTGATAGTTTCATGCATAAATAAGTAAGAAAATAATAGAACAACTCCGTTATTTTCAGTTATTATGTTATGGTACATTATTATGTGTTAATATGGTTCACTATTTTCGGTTAATATGGTTCATGTTATAAAGTGTATATACGCGAGCCTCGTATTGGAGGAGCTTGTAATAACCAGTTTATATCGGCGGGAGATAGTCATTATGTATCAGTCATAATAACGTAGTAGTTCTTAAGCAATCTTAAGAGAGAATGTGACTTCTGGAGGAGGTTGACGTCACACGCTCCTTCGTGTGACCTACACCACACAACTGGGGAGTGAACCGAACTCATATACGACGTCCTTTTTAGCTAAATAATATATATATATATATATATATATATATATATATATATATATATATATATATATATATATATATATATATATATATATAATATGTATTTGTTTCATGGTGACCTAGTCTATTTTTTGAAGCCAGATTAGATATGTAATGGTTTAGCTAAATATTCAGCGTTAAAGAAGGGTTTAGTTCTTCCCCAAGCTTCTTGAGGTAAATCGGTGTACTATTTGCCTTTTTGCGAACATTTTTGCGGTGGTTTTTGGCCTTAAATCCTTGCTAATCATGAGATCTTTTTTCGCATTTGCAATGTTTCAATATCAACACTATCCAGCAGATATCTGGTAACTCTATCATCATTGCAGATGATGAGTCACAATAACGTTGCTGAAGATTAGATATCTTGATAATTCTCCAGGACGGACTTTATAAGTTCTTATTCTTTTCATATTTTTGGCTTGAGTGTGTGTGTCACTACCTAGTCTCGGACCCCTGCATTTATCAACATTTTTTTAACCTTCTAAAGTTATTTCTTTCCTAACTTTTGTATTGTCTGCAAATATTGCTGTTCACTCCTGAACTTTAATCGTTTATATGTACAGTAAAGAATAGGGGGTCTAGGATAAGGCCTTGTGGCATTCCACTTATAACTATTTCCCATTGTGACTGAACTCCATTTATACAAATCTTTTGTTTTGCTTTCAAATAATCGCGCCCTTATCCAGCTTAGCATAGTTCTTCAGTACCACGAGTTTCTTCCAGTCACTCGTGAGGCCCAGTATCAAAACCTTCGCTGAAGTCAAGGTACACAACGTGATAATTGGTACCACTGTAAACTGCCTCAAATATGCTGGAATATAATAAATGGAAATTCATGGAACATGAATTTCCCTTCACAGCCCTTTGTAAAGCCATGTTGAGACTCCCTTATCAATCTGTGTTTCACAAGTTGTACGTGAATATCTTTTCCGATTATGGATTCAAGCAGTTTTCCCACAATATACGTTTAGCTAATTGGTCGATAATCCGATGGAAGTGATACTTTCCCCCTTCCTGAAGACTGGTCCTACATTGACAACCCTCCGCGATTCCGTAGAGTTTAATGTCATTAAATATGAATGTCAAGGTCTCACTCAGCTCTTGTATGATCGTGGGACCCAGGCAAATTTTTCGTCTGAGCCTGGGGATTGGTTTGGCTTTCATTTGTCTATGTGAAATTACTTCCTCCTTATTAATGACAATACAGTTCATGTGACCTTCCTTACCTCCTACATAGATTGGCCCAGTTGTTATCAAGTTCCTCTCTAACAAGTACAGAAACATAGGACTTAGAGTGCTACTTATTTCAGTATCATTATCAGTTACATGACCTAACTTATTTTCCCCAAGGACCAGCCTTCTCTTTAGTCTTTGGCGTATCTGAAAGAAACCTTTGACATAGTTTAATTCCTTTTCCACTCAAAAATAGAAGAATTTTTCAGACGGACTCGTTTTAATTTTAAATAAAGACTAAATATTAGAAAACAAATATCAGTCTGGGAGCCAGTCGGCCGAGCGGACCGCACGCTGGACTTGTGATCCTGTGGTCCCGGGTTCGATCCCGGGCACCGGCGAGAAACAATAGGCAGAATTTCTTTCACCCTATGCCCCTGTTACCTAGCAGTAAATAGGTACCTGGGTGTTAGTCAGCTGTCACGGGCTGCTTCCTAGGGGTGGAGGCTTGGTCGCGGACCGGGCCGCGGGGACACTAAAAACCCGGAAATCATCTCAAGATAACCTCAAGATAACGGGCTCCCAGATTCCAGACAGCTTGAGCAGCTCGTTCATGATTCAGGATCACCTGTTTCCCGTGGACACCGAGGACACCGAGCATCTAACTTTCAGATTCAAACCAATGCCTCTTCCAGGAGAGGAAAATGGTTAATCTCATTCCAGTTTCCAGAGGAGCGTATCCGTCATGACGTGAGCCGCTCGTTCCAGCTTCATCAGTGTCTTTCACTGCGCAAATTTGATCGGAATATTTGGTCGTCTGGTCGCTGCATAGTGTGAATGTCGTCTGGTCGCTGCACGGGGTGAATGTCGTCTGGTCGCTACACGGGGTGAATATCGTCTGGTCGCTACACGGGGTGAATGTCGTCTGGTCGCTACACGGTGTGAATGTCGTCTGGTCGCTACACGGGGTGAGTGTTGTCTGGTCGCTACACGGGGTGAATGTCGTCTGGTCGCTACACGGTGTGAATGTCGTCTGGTCGCTACACGGTGTGAATGTCGTCTGGTCGCTACACGGGGTGAATGTCGTCTGGTCGCTACACGTCGTCTGGTCGACATGAATGTCGTCTGGTCGCTACACGGGGTGAATGTCGTCTGGTCGCTACACGGTCGTCTGGTGAATGTCGTCTGGTCGCTACACGGGGTGAATATCGTCTGGTCGCTACACGGTGTGAATGTCGTCTGGTCGCTACACGGTGTGAATGTCGTCTGGTCGCTACACGGGGTGAATGTCGTCTGGTCGCTACACGGGGTGAATGTCGTCTGGTCGCTACACGGGGTGAATGTCGTCTGGTCGCTACACGGTGTGAATGTCGTCTGGTCGCTACACGGGGTGAATGTCGTCTGGTCGCTACACGGGGTGAATGTCGTCTGGTCGCTACACGGGGTGAATGTCGTCTGGTCGCTACACGGGCTGAATGTCGTCTGGTCGCTGCACGGGGTGAGTGTCGTCTGGTCGCTACACGGGGTGAGTGTCGTCTGGTCACTACACGGGGTGAGTGTCGTCTGGTCGCTACACGGGGTGAGTGTCGTCTGGTCGCTACACGGGCTGAATGTCGTCTGGTCACTACACGGGGTGAGTGTCGTCTGGTCGCTTCACGGGGTGAGTGTCGTCTGGTCGCTACATGGGGTGAGTGTCGTCTGGTCGCTACACGGGGTGAGTGTCGTCTGGTCGCTACACGGGGTGAGTGTCGTCTGGTCGCTACACGGGGTGAATGTCGTCTGGTCGCTACACGGGGTGTATGTCGTCTGGTCGCTACACGGGGTGAGTGTCGTCTGGTCGCTACACGGGGTGAATGTCGTCTGGTCGCTACACGGGGTGTATGTCGTCTGGTCGCTACACGGGGTGAGTGTCGTCTGGTCGCTACACGGGGTGAGTGTCGTCTGGTCGCTACACGGGGTGAATGCAGTTCCTTCTATCAATTTGCCGCTCCGGAACAAATGTAACTGTTCTTCTTAACAAGAATCATGCTAACCCAACCAACCCACCTACCCCTATCGCGGCCGCTGCAAGGACAACGTGAATATTAGGATGCTTTAATGTTCATTAACACGTTGTATTTTGAACGGATCGGTTGATTTCGTAAGGCATAAGACGTATTGGGGGAGAGGAATGGTTGGTAAATGAACCTTTTACCCAAGACGAGCCACTAAATCCCTTCACTTTCCCCCCCCCCCTCTACCCCTCAACTTTACCTTTCCTTCCCGTTTACCCTCACCTTGCCCCTCTTCCCTTCACCTTCCCCCTTACCTTCCAAATGTGGGAATAATCATACGTCACCAGAGCTTTCATTAACGGTCCTTTGACTAGTTG